ATTCTGATTACCCACTATCATCATTTTCCTGGGTTAAAAAAAAAAATCAGGTTTTTTGTGTGTTTTTTTTAAGGTACAGTTTAAGTGCAAGAAAATGCACAATTTAAATGTATATATTTTGATGAGTTTTGTCAAATGTAACCACCATCACAATAATACAATCATGGAGTACTCCTTTAGTTTGATGTCATCATGGCACAGGGACCATGTTCATTTCCAATATAGCCTTACAATTTTAGTTTATGTGCCACCAACGTAGCATTTCCTAGCAGTCTCTGTTAGTACTAACGCCAGATGATCTTTAGACTGCTTTGCTAAAGGAACCAGCCTCTTCCTGCTCCACCAAAACAAACAAACTACATTCATATTTCATATTTCTACTTGGTTTTAGATAACAAGGGTCCTGAGAGTAGGGTCACGCTCTCCCTCCCAGTGCCTGACCCACAGGACTCGGTATTTGTTGAATGGGTAGTTGTTAACTTCAACAAATGATTACAAAAGTAACATATGCTTTTTGCATAGACATAGAAAGCAGAACAGGAAACCTCCATCCCCCACACTTTCCTCTCTTCTGCACTAATAAATGATACTCCCCGTTACCAATAAAATGATCAGACTGAACATTTTTCTACGATTCACATTGACATCGTTTGCATTTTCCCCTTAGAGACTTTTTAAATCTGCTTAGTTGCTGTAGCAAATTACCATCAGCTGTGGAACATTTCTCCCCGTTCTGGAGGCTGGGAGTCAGATCAGGGGCCAGTTTCGCTGGTTCTGGTGAAGGCCCTGTTCCTGGTTTACAGAAGGCCGCCTTCCTGCCGTGTCCTCCCTGGCGGAGCAGAGAGAGGAAGCAGGCTCTCACCTATCTCACTTACAAAAGCCCTGATCCCACGAGGAGAGCTCCAGGCAACTATTTACCTCCCAAAGAACCTGTCTCCCAATGCCAGCACGCTGGGAATCAGGGTTTTCATATATGAGTTTTGAGGAACATAAACATTCAGTCCATAACAGAGGCCTAGCGAAGACTCTTCTGTCAGTAGATGTAAACCTTTCTCTCTTCTTTTTAATGTCTCAGATCATCCTCTGGTGTAATTATCCTAAACATCTGCCCTCTTTCTCTCTCTTTCTTCCTATAAAACTGCCCCGAACATTCCCTGTCCGTCTTTGGTAGCATGTGTTTGCATTTCTGCAGGGTAGATTCCTGCAAGTAGAATTTCTGTGTCAAAGGGTATGTCCATAAAACATTTTTATAGATACCGTTCTAACTGTCCCTCCAAAGGTTGCACCAGTTTATATGAAAGTGCCCATGGGCTGAACCCGGCCACTTCCTCTTGAAGTAAATTGAATTGACCTTATGTTAAATATAGAGATAAATTTTTCTCTTATAGAGAAAAAGGCCCCTATCTCCTCTTCCGTTCGTGAGTCTCCGCAGCTGGGGAAATGTTATTTTTCTCCACTTATTAAAGACTTTTTAAAGCGCTCTTCTTAAAATATGTTGCATATTTCTGCATATGTCTTAAATTTATTTCTATCTATTTTAGATACCACTTTGTCTGGTGTATTTTTTATCCCATTCGTTAGTTTGGTGATTGATGAGATGGAACTGATTTTACATATTAATGTTACTGCCCACATTCTGAAAGACTTCTATCATTTCTAATGTTAGAAATGAGTTGATCTGTGCTCATGTGGCCAATTTCATAGCTGGAGAATTGGGGCATATGGAGGTCAACCGAGTTGACCATGGTCGGGTACTGAGCCTCTTCTGTGTGTCGAGTACTGTGCTGGGTCTGTGAGGGAAGCCAAAGATAAATCAGACTGAACCCAAGAACAAGGGCTTTATACATTCCAAGGGCCATGAATAAAGCCATGAGAGGCAGCAGGCACCATGGGAAAAATATGGGCTATGAAATTTGTCCTGTGTTTGGAAGTTGGTAGCTCCCCCATTCCCCCTCCCCCCATATAAATGGGATTAGTTCCATTGCTATTTGAGAGTGCTATTTTGGTCCAAAGAAATAACGTGAGTCTAGTACAATGCTTGGATATGTAGTTGGAGCTTAATAAGCGGTAGCTATAAATAGGTACAGTCTAAAGTAGAAAGTGTCAAAGGAATGCCTTTGGCTGAAAGTTCAAGGAAAGTGCCCCAGTACTTGAGAAGAAAAAAAGGTATTTTTTCTGGTTGGCTTTTGGAAGAGTGTATTTGAGCTGACTCCTGGTGGCTGATGTAGCCTCTGGGAGAAGAGGTGGGTCTGGAAAGAGAGTGGGAACTGGATTGTGAAGAATCTTGGCGAAGAATTTGGAGTTCATTCTGCAAGTCACTGGGGACGCCTTGAACAGGTCTACAGAATAGAGGGCCACGTTCAGACCTGTCGGATGCTGATAACATAAAACGTTCCCATCGTTTGCACAGTGTCTTGTGTCTGACAAAGGCCTTTCGTGACTGTTGCCTCATTTCATCTCCACCGCACCCCCATAAATGAGATAGCCTTTATTTTCCATTTTGCAAGGCGGCAAAACAGCCTTGGCAAGATCAAACGATCCCCTTACACAAACTCACCTCATTAGCAAGTGTTGCTGTTACCAGGTCACTTCAGTGCCAGGGGCTGGCCCCGGGCCTGCCCGCCTGTCGGGGACTCCTGTCAGGTGACCTCCAGGTTCCTGATTTGCACGGGAAAAGTTTCCAGACTGGTTGAAGTGAGAACAAAGCAAGTTTTATTCAGGCAGAGAAAACGAAAGAGGCCAGGGCCGGGGTGGTGAGGCTGTGAAAGAAGCAGAGAAGTTCAATGGAAATGGACTTGGGCCAACTTGAGGGTGAGTTTCGCACGTGGTCTACCTTTTCTTGTGACTCTGTGTTTCCGGGCCCGAGCGGTTGCTGCTAAGTGTTGCTGTGCCAAATTCTGCCTCTGCCTCTGGTTGGGAGGGGGCCTTGTTGTCCTTAACTTCTGAGACCACCTCAGGGGGTTCTTGGATAAACTGTTTCCCTTTGATCTTGCACGGAAGTGAGAGCTCTGGGAAGAGGGTGTCAGCTCTGCTCCTACATCCTCGTTCCCCTTGTTGAGATTTCCCTTAACTGCTTTCTGTCTGGTCTCACTGGGACCAAAACAGCTCCCTCTTTTCTAAAAAAAAATGTATTTTATTGACTTTTTACAGAGAAGAAGGGAGAGGGAGAAACATCGACCAGCTGCCCTCCTGCACACCCCCTATTGGGGTGTGCCCGCAACCAATGTACATGCCCTTACCAGAATCGAATCTGGGACCCTTCTGACCGATGCTCTATTTACTGAGCCAAACCAGTTTCGGCCAAAACAGCTCCCTCTTGAAGTCAGAAGCCTTTGGGGAGCCTGCTGCAGTCGGCTGGCCTGGATGGAGGTGGTGAGGAGCAACCAGCGATGGAAGTGAAGAAGGGCAAGGGGAGGAGAGACGAGGAATGGCTAGGACTCGGGAAATGGATTGGTGTGAGAAGTCAGAACGAACTGGTCTTTAGGGCTAGGTGCCTGGAGAGCGGTGGTGGGGTTTGTGGAGGAAGCTGGCTTGGGAAGCGTGTGTCACAGGGTCGTTATCTCCTGGCGCTCAGCCTGGTGCTCTGCCACCCCTGCTCCTGCGACCCTTCAGCTTCATTTTCGGAAGATGCACTAAAATGTGACGGCCACTGTCGCTCCGTCGATGCATCTTAGCCCTGTTTCACGGTTATTTCTTGGTGTCTTTGTCCTTCGTGGCCTACCCTGACAGCTCCATCCTAGACGTGGTAACAGGCATAATCCAGTTTAGGAACTGTTTGTGTTTCAAAGTGCACTAGCAAGGGGTGGACAAGAATTTCAGTAACCCCGGTGCCTTGGCATCGGGGATGTGAAGGCAGGGTTGCTTCCAGACCACCTCACGCAATGCCAATCGGTAGACAGCATTGTTGGAGGGTGGGCCTGAGCCGGCATCTTCTTGGAGACTATGGACTTCTGGAAAAGGCCATCAGAGTGACACTGTAGACACAGCTCTTTGTCTGTCCCAGCCCTGTGACTGGGCTGGGAGTGGAGCACTCCTTCCCTCAAACTACCAGTGGAAAATTCCATGCCTTCAGGTCTGTTCTCCTAATGCCAGTGGTCTTAAAACCAGGCCCGTAAAGTGAACTAAATTTTAGCTGGGATCGGTCACCACATGCCACCGTGCAGCCATTGGTTAAATCCTTTAAGAAGAGGCTTTAAAAAGCTAAGAAAAACATGGTCCTGAATGCCTACGTAACGTCCTGTAGCTGGATGTTAGGCAGAGAAGACATCTGATCACTGAATGGGGGATCTGATCCCAGCTCCCATGGCTGACAATAGGTGTGCTAGATTGTCAAGACAATTTTTCTGGAGAGGCATGCATTTCCCTAGTCATGGACTTCAGGCTAGGCCATATGCTTGTAGAACCCCCTTTCTTGTGGAAGATGACATAACTCCGCCCTGTCGTACGTCAGAGTTACGGTGTGACTTGCCGTGGCCAGTGAATGCAGTGGGGCGTGATGTGAGTGATTCTGAGCCGCAGCTGTGAGAGCCAGCATGGGCCTCGCTCTCTGTCCCTCTCCCCTCCGCCACAAAGCCAGCCATGGTGAGGGAAGAGGCACTCTGCCTGCCTGGGACCTGGAGTGTAGATGACACGGAGCAGAGACAGTGGACCCATAATGCAAAGGAATGTGAGCAAGAATCAAACCTCAGTTTTTATAAACCCCTGGGACTTTGGGGTCTTTGCTGTAGCCTGTTCTGACCCATACAGGATGTCATGATAGGGAGCCAGGTGCCTTAGGAGCGGGCATTCTAGAAATTGTCCAGGCTCTCTGAGCAGATGGCGAGATCCTATCTTTTTTCCTGAGGGCTTGGAAACCAGTCTGCTGCGTCGCCTTCCTCTGCTCTGTGGACAAGTACATCTCTCTGGCTCACGGCTTCGGCCCGTGCACAGTGAGTGGACTTGACCTGTGGCCCACTTGAGCGAGGCTGTAAATGGATCTGCATATTTTGATTCTTGTATAGTTGCCACCCAGCCGAGGAGCATTCCCAGGTGGCCGTTTCTGCAACTTGACAGGAATGGGATGTCTGTGCAGTGGCCTGATCCTGACCTGCAGCCTGGAGCTGAGCCCAAGCTGAGCTGTAGCTGTCCACAGACCAGCGACCATGAAATGCGTGTTGTTATAGTAAGCCATGAACATCTGGGGCTATCGCCTTGGCGAGGTGACTCGTTTGGTTGGAGCGTTGTCCTGTACGCCAGAAGGTTTTGGATTCGGATTCGATTCCTGGTCAGCACATACTTGGATTTCAGGTTGTATCCCCAGTGGGCGAGTGTGGAGGAGGCTACCAATTGATGTTTCTCTCTCACATCAATGTTTCTCTCTCTCTCTCTCTCTCTCTCTCTCTCTCTCTCTCTCTCTCTCTCTCTCTCTCTCTCTCTCTCTCTCTCTCTCTTTAACAAAAATCATCCTCGGGAGAGGATAAGAAAAATCTGGGGCTGTGCATCACCCTGGCAAGAGCTGATCAGTCAGCAAGGACCATGTGTTCTCTGAACAGAAGGAGCCCCTCTCCTTCACTAATCATCAGTAGAACAGCGGTCTCACACCGGATTTTTAAGATTTCTGAGATGTTAATGATTTCATAGCTCCCAGTATAGGGAAATTGCCTGGGATTAAAGGTCCTCTTTATATCAGCACTGGGTTCCTTAGTTTCCATCCCAATAAGTAATGAAATCTAAGGAACATCGTCATGCTTGCTTTATAAACACAGCTTTAAGAAAGTCCTCTTCCTCCCCTCTGCTACCTGGAACACACAAGTCTCTTTCATACAGAAGTTCTGGAGCCAGCCCTGCAAGAACACCAGGCCCCTTAGCAAGATCCTAGGCCAGCGGTTGCCAACCTTTCGGACCTCACAGACCACCAGTTGACACTGGTTGACAACCACTGTCCTAGACCAAGCATGTCTAACTCACGGCCCATGGGCCGCATGCGGACCACAAATATTTTTGCAGCCCATCCAATATAATGGTATATAAGAAACATTTTAATAAAAATTTTGTAACTTAATTCTTACAATACCCTATTGTACATAATTATTAATAATGAACTACAACATTCGCTAATGACTAATTACTATAATGGTGAAGTGCTATTCATTATGTACAGGCGCACCATTTCTCCCCACTAATACTAGCAGCAAATATTTTAGCAGCCGACTACCCCGACATTAGTTTTGTACTGACTTGTTTGGTGTGCACAACAGGAAATACTTCGCTTTCGGAGAACAAGAAAAATGGATCTATTTGTGTTATGCTTATTAATTTGTGCAGTTATTCGGTGTCTGGTAAGTTAGTGTTCAAGAAAAAATAATAATTTTTATTAAAAAGTTCTATTATTTTATGTTGACGGTTGCTCATTTATTTCAGCCCTTTGTATTCAGCGTGTCTCTATCGAAAAAAACCTATGTTTCTATGAATATTGAAGCTCTTGTTTTTTTGCGGCCCATATAAACGTAAACCTTGTTTGTTTGGCCTGTGTTAGCTTTTGAGTTTGACATGCTTGTCCTAGACCACATGTGTCAAACACAAGGCCCGCGGGCCAAATCTGTCCAGCCAGGCCTTGCAATGTGGCCCGCACCGCGCTGTCATCACTGCACTCTGCTGCGTTTCCATCACAATGACAGTTTATGACTGTTCAGTAAACCATTCGGCCCGTGATTTAGGCTGGATTTTAGATTTTGACCCCTTCTCTGATTGAGTTTGACACCCCTATCCTAGACAATTCAAGCAGGAAGCCAAGGGCCTGGGAGAACTTGGTGCTTGCAGGGCCTCTCCGGTCATATCTGGTGTAAGGGTGTACCCTCACTCAGTGTGTTCATTCAGTAAATACTGTGGACTTGACCCTTCCGTAGTGGTAGGTGCTGGATATCCATGGTGATCCAGACAGACAAGCTTATGTTTTGCTGGGGCAGGCTAGCTGAACCGAGGGTTAGCAAGGAATCTAGCAAGCTTCTGTTATGCATGAAATTGCTGGGATTGGATCTTTATGTCAAATATATTAAAGTTGAAAATCTATTTTCTGTAAGTCGGTACCTTTAAACCCAAAGGTGTAAGTAGGTATTTAATAAAATGCTTTTATCTCACCCTAGTCCCTAAGCCACCTAGTTCCCTTCTCCCTGTCGGGGCACATGGGGGAGGCAACTGATCAATGTATCTCTCTCGCATGGATGTTTCGCTCTCCCTCTCTCTCACTCCCTTCTGCCACTCTCTCTAAAGACCAATGGGGAAAATATCCTCGGGTGAGGATGAACAACAACAACAAAAGTCTGTGAAGAATATGCAACAGACACAGTGTTGTGACTCACAAAGTCTAAAATACCACTTACTGTCTAGCACTTTACAGAAAGAGATTGCCAATGTACAGTCTTGAACATACTGTGGAAGGAAGGCAGTACAAGATGACAGAGCTTTCTCTTATCTTGAAGGGCCTTGTGGACCATGATAAGAAGATTGGGTTTTATTAAGAGATCAAAGGAAAGCTAAAGAATAGTTTTAAGCAAGAGGTTGACATGATCAGATGCATATTTTTAAATCAGTTGTATGCATACACATTTATATGTGCCCCACACACATGCGTGCACACATACACACACACACACACACTCCCGAAAAATCCCACCCCTGGACTAAAGAGTGTCACATTGCTGTGTTACTAAAAACTGTCACTAGAAACGTGTGAGGAAGGAGGATGGGTAGCAGGTTCATACCAAACACAGAGCTGGGCTTTGTCATTATGATCACATTGTCATCTTAGCACTTACTATGTGTCTTTCTCCCCCCACTGCCCCCACTCATGCCCTCAACCCCCTGATGTCTGTGTCCATTGGTTAGGCATATATGCAGGCATACAAGCCCTTTGGTTGATCTCTCCCCCTTACCCTCACCCTCCCCTACCTTCCCTCTGAGGTTTGACGGTCTGATTGATGCTTCTCTGTCTCTGGATCTGTTTTTGTTCATTAGTTCATGTTGTTCATTATATTCCACAAATGAGTGAGATCATGTGGTATTTATCTTTCTCCGACTGGCTTATTTCACTTAGCATAATGCTCTCCAGTTCCATCCATGCTGTTGCAAATAGTATGAATTCCTTTTTTTTTTTCTTTTTTTTCTTTTTTTACCGCAGTGCAGTATTCTATTGTGTAGATGTACCACAGTTTTTTAATCCATTCATCTGCTGATGGGCACTTAGGCTGTCTCCAAATCTGAGCTATAGTAAATTGTGCTGCTATCAACATAGGGGTGCATATATCCTTTCTGACTGGTGTTTCTCGTTACTTGGGATATATTCCTAGAAGTGGGATCACTGGGCCAAATGGGTATTCCATTTTTAGGTTTTTGAGGAAACTCCATACTGTTCTCCACAGTGGCTGCACCAGTCTGCATTCCCACCAGCAGTGCACAAGGGTTCCTTTTTCTCCGCATCCTCGCCAGCACTTGTCGTTTGTTGATTTGTTGATGATAGCCATTCTGATAGGTGTGAGGTGGTACCGCATTGTCGTTTTGATTTGCATCTCTCAGGTGATTAGTGACTTTGAGCATGTTTTCATATGTCTCTTGGCCTTCCTTCTGTCTTCTTTTCGAAAAGTATCTATTTAGGTCTGTAGTAGCAGGCTAATTTTTAAGTTGAGGATGATATAAATACCCAAATGGCCCTTGGCAGAAAAAAGCTTCCCCACCCCTGCCCATTTCTAATAGCCACACAACCTAGACCTGGAATTTCTGGTTTAATATACGCTGAGTCCTGTCCCTTTACCAGTCTCTGCCTCCTCTTCCTTTAGGGTTGACTTGCACTGAACTGGGCCTGCGGTCCAGGATGGTTTGTGCTCGGGACCAGACCTGACCAGAGAAGTCGACCTCATGAGCACGTCCGCCTCCCCCGCGGCCATGCTCCTCCGGAGGCTGAGGCGGCTCTCCTGGGGCAGCACGGCCGTCCAGCTCTTCATCCTGACCGTGGTGACGTTTGGCCTGCTGGCCCCCCTGGCCTGCCACCGGCTTCTCCACTCCTACTTCTACCTTCGCCACTGGCACCTGAACCAGATGAGCCAAGATTACCTGCAGCAGAGCCTGAAGGAGGGCGAGGCCGCCCTCCACTACTTCGAGGGGCTGCCCTCCGCCAACGGCTCGGTGCCCATCGTGTGGCAGGCCACCCCCCGGCCCTGGCTGGTCATCACCATCGTCACGGTGGACAGGCAGCCCGGCTTCCACTACGTCCTGCAGGTGGTGTCCCGGTTCCACCGGCTCCTCCAGCAGTGCGGCCCCCCGTGCGAGGGCCACCAGCTCTTCCTGTGCAACGTGGAGCGCAGCGTGAGCCACGAGGACGCCAAGCTGCTGTCCAGGTACGTGCCCGTGGCCAACCGCTACGAGGGCACCGAGGACGACTACGGGGACGACCCCTCCACCAACTCGTTCGAGAAGGAGAAGCAGGACTACGTCTACTGCCTGGAGTCCTCCCTGCAGACCTACAACCCGGACTACGTCCTGATGGTGGAGGACGATGCCATCCCCGAGGAGCAGATCTTCCCCGTGCTGGAGCACCTCCTGCGGGCCCGCCTCTCCGAGCCCCACCTCCGGGACGCCCTGTACCTGAAGCTCTACCACCCCGAGAGGCTGCAGCACTACATCAACCCGGAGCCCATGCGGATCCTGGAGTGGGTCGGCGTGGGCATGGTGCTGGGGCCGCTGCTCACCTGGCTCTACATGCGGTTCGCCAGCCGCCCGGGCTTCAGCTGGCCGGTCCTGCTCTTCTTCTCACTCTACAGCATGGGGCTGGTGGAGCTGGTGGGCAGGCACTACTTCCTGGAGCTGCGGCGGCTGAGCCCGTCCCTCTACAGCGTGGTCCCCGCCTCGCAGTGCTGCACCCCGGCCATGCTCTTCCCGGCCCCCGCGGCCCGCCGCACCCTCACCTACCTGTCCCAGGTGTACTGCCACCAGGGCTTCGGCAAGGACATGGCCCTGTTCTCGCTGCTGCGGGCCAAGGGCGAGCGGGCCTACGTGGTGGAGCCCAACCTCGTGAAGCACATCGGGCTCTTCTCCAGCCTCCGGTACAACTTCCACCCCAGCCTGCTCTAGGGGGCCCGGGACAGAGACCCTTTCCTGGAATCGGCTGCTGCTCTGAGATGCGAACGCTGAGCTCCTCACTGAGACACGGCCGCTTGCAGATGTTTCGTTGTGTCACGTTGCTGGGGGCAGAGGCATGGGGACAGCCGAGGAGAAGGCCAGTCAAGAAGCTTGGTAGGAGCAGCAGGTGGCCTCAGATATGGACCTCTGTCCCCTCCACACAGCCGCACTGCCTCATGCAGTCTGACCCACCCAAGGAGGCGGGGGGGGGGGCGCGTTAAAATGCCGGTTACGTTCTCCAGTTGTGTTCAGCCCTGCTTTGCGATAGACTCGGGGACTGCCCACAGGACTGTGCACCTCGATGTGACTGCTCGAGGATGTGAAGGGTGGAATTTCGTGAAAGGCAAGGTCCTTTCGGATGGATTTCTTTCTCCCTGGGCATGAGAATGGATGTGTTTCGGATATCCTGTATGTCTAAATAGGCGGGACCAGGTTGATAGATTCTGCTTGCTGACCTGGTATAATGAAAGCCAATAACAGCTGTGCGTTGCTGGCAGCACGGAGGCAGGTGACCTGGCTTTTGTTACTTTCCTTTTTCTTCTCTGCGCTGCAGGGCACTGATGACCAGTATTGTTAGTGAGAACTCCAAGGTACAGCAGAATCTGAAAGCACCTTACGGATCATCAAAGTCAGATCGCTTATGTTTAATGGTGACTTAATAGTGAAGATGTCCGTCCTATTCCGATTATTGGAACACTGGATACTGCAGAATGGTATTGAATGGATGAGCTCATTACGAACGGCATATCCCTCTCCCTAACTTTTCTGGCTAACCCGTCACCCTCATTTCCCTTCCTTCTAGGCAGCATGAGACAACATGGACTGTGAAGTCAGAAGACCTGCACTTTTATTTCAGATTTCTCTTAGGTCCCGGTGGTGTGAACTTGGCCAAGTCATAACCACTCGGAGTCTCAGTTTCTTCACCTGTAAAATGAGGCCAGTGGTACCTACCTTTTCAAGTTGCCTTGAGACTGTATGTAAAACAACTTATACGCGCTTAGCCCAGAGAGGGCACGTGGTAACGTCTAGTTCTTTTCTCTCCTGTAGTAAGTATTGATATATAGAACTCGAGTGTATTTTGGATAAAAGTGTTAATGGTAGTGTTTAGAGTGGGAGATAGGACACAGAGCTGACACCTAGGAAGCTGCTGTTCTAGACCAACCACTGCTAGAATAAAGGCTGACTTGTCCTTGTGGCTTCCGGATGGAACACATCTCGGCCCCACCTCCAACCAAAGTAATTTTTCATTTGAACTGGAAGCGATCTGAGACACCTCTTGAACTTATTCCAAGACTATCATCTGAAAATTCCTTTTCTGGAGAATTACACATAAATGGCCTTTGATGAGACTTAGGGAACGGGTGGGCAACATGCCCCTTCCTGAGGACAGATGGTTACGTGATAGTTCACGCAGTTGTCCAGTCTGGCTCAGTGCCACATGCTCTGTGCTTACATTGATCCTCTCAAGAACAGGGAGGGAGTATACGGAGGTGGGGGTGGAGGAGGCAGTGGGTTCACCATCACACTTTACAAGTGAACGAACTGAGAGCCAGAGATGTTAAACAACTCCAGGACCACACAGCCGAGCAGGAACTGAAACATAGCTCTTCTGACTTCTGGCCCCTGTGGTTCCTCCCATCCATGTTATAGATATCTGTGTAGTCCAATTCTCTTTTGTAAAATATGATTGTAACCTGGACTGAATACTATCTCTGTAAACTAAGATGGTAGAAACTCATTGTCATGGGGAACAAACAGGTATCAGTGTGTGTTGTGTTGTTATAGTGACCTGTTATGTATCTCCCAGGAATGTCCAAAGTGATCAGAGCTACTAGAGGACTTATTCAAGATGTTCAGATTCCACACCTTCATGCCTCCTCTCCCAGCAATGGACCCACCCCTATGTTTGAGAGCAGAGCCAGCCTCATGTTTGAGAATAGAACCACCCTCAACCTATAGACCTCATGAGTTTATTGTGTTAATGATTGGATCTCCGCATGAAAATGTATTTGTCCAGTGGAAGAAGAGCCACACCTAAGCTAGAAAGGAACCATTGCTGGTTTCCATTTCTGCTGTTTCTAATTCAGATGTCTACCACATGCAAACACTCCCTCCCCCGTCTCCTTCATTCTGGATGGCCAAGGCCATCTTTGCCTTGTCTGATTTCTCTGCCTCTACACCAAGAAACTAGAGTCTGCCTTCCTTGGACATTTTCTGCGGCTCAGTGCTGCCCTTTTATCTCTACCCACTTCTAGATTTTCTTCCCTTTTGTCCTTCATTCCTAGAGCCCGATTTTTGTATATTGTCCTTGATTAGGACAGCTAACAGCTTCACACCAAAGCTGAAGTCTCTCATTTAATCCCAAGCGAGGGGACTAGAGGAGAACCCAACTCCCCTTCCCATATCAAGGGACATAGGTTACCATGTCAGTGAAGGTCTCTTAACAGTCCTGCTCATCTTTCAGAGCTTAAATTATAGTCAGGCCTCAGGAGCTCTCATTTGTGACTGAGTGTATTTGTGTAGACATTAGTTCAAATAAAAGCATCCATTCCACTGAGGTATCCTGAGAAGACTTTTTGTCATTGTCCTTTTTTTTCGATGGGATGGATTTTTGTGATGTGGCAATTAGTATCACACACACACACGCACACACACACACACACACACACACATCATTGTACCGTTCCGAGTACCATTCAAAAGTATGGGCTGTTCACTTGAAAATTCGTAACTGAATTTCTTAAATGGAAACACATGAATCGTGCATTCTTTTTTGTTGTTGTTTAAAGAAAAAAATGGTAAGAATACTACAGTGTAACTGGAGAGTCCAAATAGGACTTATAAAATGATAGGACTAATCTAATTTACCTTGGCTACACTTCTCCTTTGGGAGGACTTATTTGATTGGTAACTTAATTTGGGTGGAGAGGCATTCTAATTGGAGTTGATTACTGTGGGACTTTTAGATACACTAAGATTCATTGTGAGTTGTGGTAACACATGCTATAAAACTGGGTAGTTTTAAGTCACCTGAACTATCGGGATATTTTTATCCCAACTACAAGGAATTTGCTAAGGAATGTTCATTAACTGTCACTTTTTCTTTTTTCTTTTTTCTTTTTTTTCGGTTGGATTTTATTTAGAAAACTTTTGGGGCTGTGTCAAAGACAGTTGGGATTGAATAGTGCTAATGGGAAAAATAAAGTACTTACTATATTAGAGCTGCCGTGGAGACCTGCTGTGGCTGGCAGGTCACCCCGGCACTTGGATGATTCACAACAACGTGAGTCATCGCTGCTGAATGGGAATTTTTGGTTGAGAATGGAACAAATCATCGTGACCTTTTCCCTAATGACCCACATGGAAATATGGATAAATGAACTAATCTTTAAAATACATCTATGTTCATCATTTGGAGATAAAAACATGAAACTTCAAAGGCAAATGATGAATTTATATATATTAAAAAAAAATGAACAAGGAACAGGTGGCATAAGAATGTAGGAATGAGGCAGCTTTATTATGTCAGAGAAATGAGAGAAGAGGCCCATGATGAGAGTGAAGCAGAAGGCTCACATATGTCAGCTGTTCTTGCGAGTCCCAAATGCCCTGGTATAATAAATCCTTTATGTGTGTTCGACTGTCATGAAATCGTTATAGGCTCAGTCTGTGGATAATGCAGAGGAGCTCAACAATGGATAGTCAGTGTTCTGGATAAATAATTCATCACCTTGCTGTGGAGGGCCTGGCATTGTGGTGCATTTAAAATAAACTCAAAACCCCTACATTACCTCCCAGGCCACGTGTGATCTGGCCCCTGCAAACTCAGACTTCATGTCTTACCATCACTCCTGTCATGGTTCTCTAAACTCTAACCCCACAGGCTTCCCTTCATTTCCTGGCATTTGCTTCACGGCTTCTTGCTGCAAAGCCTTTCTCTCTGACTGACATGCTTTTCCTTTGCCTGAATCTTTCCTATGACTCAAGTCTGAACTCAATTTTAATTCTCCTCCATCTCACCCCCAGCAGACTTCCTTTCCAAAGCAGCCTCCCCCATTTCCAACCCCCTGATCCATCTGTCACATTATCACATCACCCAGATTGCTTTCACAGCTCTCTCTTGTCATTAACTGAAATTCCCTTATTTATTATCTTGGGTATTTTTCCCCTCTCCATCTCCTGCCATTGAATATATAAGGTCCACAGTGTCAGAGGTCTTCTCTGCTTCATTTAATCCTTCCCCAAATCTTACACCCGTGGTCAGCAAACTGGCTCATGAGCCACATACAGCTCTTTGGCCCCTTGAGTATGGCTCTTCCACAAAATTCCAATGGCCTAGGCAAGACTATTTTGAAGAAGTGGCGTTAGAAGAAGTTTATGTTCAAAAGAAATTTCAATCGTTGTCCTGTTGATATTTGGCTCTGTGGACTAATGAGGTTGCCAACCACTGTCCTGGAGGAATACCTGACACATAGTAGGAAAGGAATGAGACCGAGAAGGAAAAGGGATTTACAGCGGAACTGCTACTGAACTCCAGGGATTCTCTGCTTGGGGTGTTCCAGTGGGAACAAGATGTGGTTGTCGCCAGGTGGTTTTATTTACTTGCAGCAAGAGAAGGAGATGGGATTCCTAAGCAAAGCTCTGCCTCCCCCAGCTAAGCCTTGGTTTTGCTCTTAGATACTCTGGTCAGTTACATGTTTATTTCTTCTTTGCAGTTGATTACATTTATTTATTTATTTATTTATTTATTTATTTATTTATTTATTTATTTATTTAGAGTTCCTGCCAGCTCATCCTATTTGTTTACTGCTGCCTCTGCAAAATCCTGTGCTATATTTTAACATTTACCAAGAAATAACTTTTAGAACTGCCCAGACCTTGAAACAGAACCGCCCACAAGCAGGAATATTGGAAGGAGAGAAATGGGCCTCAGGAAGAAAATTAGAAGGAGAAGAACAAAACGGGAGGCAGTGGGAGTTAGCTATGCTGTCCAGTTTGACCCTGTAAGCGAATTTTGCCTGCATTCCAGATAGGATGGCGAGTACAAAAGGAAGCTTCTTGCGCAACCACACACCTACTCTTTTTCTTTGCTGTTGTTATGGTTTTGTTTTCTGTGTGTGTGTGGAGGGGGGACAGGGGGGGGGGGGGCAGGGCAACAGAGGGGTTCCCTGTGTGCTACTCTCAGGGGAAGGCAGGGTTTTCTTCAGGCTGCAACAGCTGCATTTTCCTGGGAATTAGCTAGACAGGGCCTCTGCCCATGGTGGCACCACAGCCTGTTCTGGGACTTTGAGGCCAAGAGGCAGGAAAGAGTGAAGGAATGATCCTCACACAGTACCCATGAACTCCTCTCAAGTTACACGGGTGATATGTTTCAACTGACCATGTATCTCAACTGCTCTGCAGCCTCTTGCTGAGGACAACATGGCCCCCTAAAGAAGCCTCTCACTAACAAAGGAAATGACTGACACAAAGATTTATTGACAGAAATAGATCAGGTGAAATGGGAATTAGCCTGTCCCAGCTACAGAGAGATCAAGACGGGGAGCTGGCTCTTAGAGCAGTGCTTTGGGGAGAAGATATGTAGCCTTTGATGCAAGAGGGACAACCAGAATATTATCTTTGAACCTACTAAAGGTTATTTCTTTTTCTTGCATTTCAAGAAAAGCAGCTCTCTAATGTCCAGGTTTCTAATCCAAATTAGAAAAAAGATGTGACGTATTTTTTCTGAAACTGAATTAAAAATGCACATTTGGAAGAGAAAAAAAATGACCCCCAGAGAAAGTTGCTTGCCCAACTACGACACACCCTGTTGATAGCAACTTGCCACACCTTTCTCATAAAAGAACCAAGAAAAGCCAAGCAAAAGTGCTCTGTCCATCCCATCTTGCTGACAGAAGCTTGCTGACCCTCAAATGGAGAGGACTGTGAAGTCCACACGTGTCCCCACTCCCTCAAGGTGAGTTTTGCTCCCTAAAGCTTTCCTAGTTCACTGTCCTCCCCAAGTTTCGTGGCCTTTGGGTTTCCTGGGTAAAGTCTGTTTCTTAATGTGGTTCA